TTTGTCGGAACTGAAGAAGCATGACGTGCCTGGCAAAAAATTATGTGAAATTGAAGCGGCTGCTAGGTGTTAGACAAAAAATGTCCGCCAGACTCCATGTGATAGGGGAATTGAAGAAGCTAGGAAATATCTCAAAAACACCGAACTAGTGGCGTTGCCTTTTGAAAAGGGATTTGGGTTTTTTATTATGACAAAACACTCATTTGAAGCAAAACTGGTGCAATTAATTGAATCAGAATGAATCAGAATTTTTACATGGCTGTTATTTATTTCCAATTTTAAGTGCAACAAAATAATATGTGGAGATGGATGGAATGGCCCTGGGTGCCTCCCTGGCAGTCAATCTGACAAAACTTTGTTTAAAAGACTGAGAATTTTCTGGATAGAAAGATTGATATCAGAGAAGACATGAACGGAAAATGTCCAAAACGCAATAGAGGAGTGACTTTCAGAACCAAGGCAGTGGAATGTAAGGCTTGTTTGATTTGGTACCATAAAGATTGTGGTGGCTTTTCAGATGAGAATTAAGGCATACAAGAAAAATTTGGTTCTGCATATTGTGCAATGATAGGCGTGAATGTGAACTGATCATAGCAGACTTGAAGCTTTTCCTACGATGCGTAGACGACCGTAGACAATTTTGCGAGGACTATAAAGGGCGACCCTTAGCGTGGTTTTACAAGTTGCCAAGAAATTTTACCCTAACTTACAGTTCACACTTGAAAGACCTAATAAGAACGGTCATATGGCTTTTTTGAACAATAATATAAATGTAAATGGGATAAAGTAAAATAAAAAAAAATCGGTGATACCAAAAACAACGGACACTGGCCTGCTTCTAAGCTTCAGAAGTTGCGCACCACTGCAGTACAAGAGAAATATAATAGAGGGTGCGGTGTACAGGGTTTTTAATGAAACATTGATGATCAGTAGACAGCAATGGAAGGAAAATCAGTAGCCAGAGTAGTGGTCATCCGAAATTGAGTCGGAAACACTACGCAAAGCTCTTGGGGCAGAATTACACCAACTAAAACGGAAACTGGGGTAACAAATGACAAGCGTGACGAGAAAGTTCCAATGCTCATGCTTCAAAATTGAGGAAAAAAAGTCAATTGTTTGCAAACAGGGTGCGCAACATCACCAACGCACTAATCGTTATTACGACCCGGAAATTGAAAAGGGCGCTTCCCTCCTTTTGTTCGTCATTCTGCCGTAATCTGAGATCTAATGTGGTCTACAAACTGTCTTGTTGTGGTAATTCAACCTATGTTGGACAAACTGTTCGCAATGAGGCTCTAAGGATTGAGGAACATGAGAAAGAGGGATCGCCATTAGGCATAGACATACATCAGTGTGGGGAGGAAGCGGCCTCAGCACAGTTGAGTTGGAAAATGAAAGAAGAGGCAAAAAACGCGTTGAAGCTCCTAACATTGGGAGCGCTGCACTGCACATTAGGAAACTGAGGCCCGGGATTAACACGCGGGATGAGCTCAGGAACAGGGTGCTAACATTTATATTTTAGTCCAAAAATTTTTTTGGCTTAACGAACGTGTCAATCGCAAAAATAAAAATCGAACAACCAGTATAAGGAAATTTTTAGTTGGGTTTAAAATATCGGAAATTCAAGGGAAAGGAATAATAACGAAATTCTCATGTTATTATACTTAAATTTAATAGGTGGAAAGAATTAATTTTTGTTTAGAACCACTTCATTGTTTTCAAGATGTTACAACGTCTGTAAATATTTGTATATCTTTTGTATGAACCTGATGATGGACATGGTTTCGAAAACGTTCAAGCTCAAGAAGAAGAAGAACATTTTAATTTTTCTTCGTTAAAATTTCGGAGGTTATTGATGTCTTGTCGTCATTTAGATTAGTTTCTTATAAAAGAAATAGTTCTCTAAAACAACAAAACATTATGTACAAATATATGTACAAAATACAAATATACAATGATAAAAAAAAGAAAGGAAGCTAAGACGAGATAAAATCAAGGCTCAGAGATTAAAAAAAATGTCTTCAAGAGAGTCAGTGGGCTTTATTGTCCCAAGAACGGATGCCGCGTTCCCAATCTGAAGTGCTACTGAAATACGCTATTTTAAGAAAGATGGTGCACGAATTTCATGGTTGGCATCGGTAAGGCGTCTATCAAGATCACGAATAAATTTAAGGGTGTCACTGCCGCAGTCTGCCTGTGTCTCAAAGGCAACTACCTGGAAATAATATCCATCTCGGACTAAGGGCTCATATTTCTTCGATTTCAGATCTTCAGCTTCAGTGGCAGCTTTATCGGTATAGAAGTCACCACCATGGAGCCTGGAGGGTGCTAAACCATCTACAACCGTAGCATCCCAGACGAGAGAAGACCCACGAATCCAAGGAGTCAAAGAAAGTCCACCAGGTCTCTTGAAATCAGTGCGGCTAACACCCGGTGGTTCCAAAATGGAGTGTATTTGAAGAGTGCCAAGTCAATTTTTGATTATTTGATTCAACATAGAGTGTCTGGCGAACCTCCCAACGCTGCGAGAACAAGACAAACCATGCCAGACCGAGTGGTTCAAACCTAGCGACTGACAGGGTAATGCATTCAATCAAGCAGCAGGAAATTTATCCTGAAAGCACAAAAAACGCTTCTTACCAATGTCGTCAAGACTATCAAGAAGTTCGGTAGATAACATTTGTAGATCGAAGCTGTCCAAGACTTCTGAAGCTCAGGTTGTGACGGCACATTCTGTAACCCTGTTTTGGATGAGCAAGAGATGAAAACCAAGGTAATGTCAGCTTCATCTCCGATGTCAAACTTACTAAGAATGGTTTGGGTCAGGCTACCACAACCAACCGCAGACGCAAGAAATGCGGGAAGCGCGAGATGGAAAGCAGACTTCAGACCAAGACCAACAGAAGAAGAAGGCAACAGAGACTGCAGCTGGCTGTTAGCATCGAGCCTAACATTGTCACATCGAGAAAGAGCGCTCACAACTAGTTTGTCGTACTCACGAAGAAGATCCTCCTCCTTGAAGCTGCACGCAGTTCGCAAAAAGTACAACAATTTGGGAAGACTCAAACAGTTTCTAAGCAGAAAAAGCGCGTGGTGGCTATCGACGTTTTCGAGAAAGTCACACAAGTTGTCGAGTTCTTGTTTTTTCCCAGTAAGAAGTGTCCTCAGATGACAGGGTCTTCAAGATCAGTAACTTCAATCTTCGGACAGATTCGATTAAAATCAGATAAAATTGAGACTTTAAGGTCGTCGTCAGGGCAACCCAGAAAGACAAGTTCGCATTTAGACGAGTTCAGTTCCAGACCAAGGTTGGCAGCAGCCTCGATTATTTTTGACAAGTCGGCTTAAGCAACTCCAGCTCTGTCGCCCAAGTTCCCATCAGCAAGATACCAAAAGTTCAAGAGCGAGGAAAGCCGATCGATAATGTCCATGATTCGGTCCGAGAAGAGCGGTGGGCCCTCGGGATCCCCTTGCTGGACGCCAACTTCCGACATAATGACAAAACTCCCGAAAATTAAATAACTTGGAGTTGCGTACGCTAGAACCATGTAATTGTAAATTGCCGGCGACTCGACTTTGACGGTGTCCCGTGGTTTTTCTTGCGAGATGGAGTTGAAAGCATTGCGGAAATCACTCTTGACATAATAAAATCCTCGGGAAGGTCAGTAGACACCAAAGTTCTCACCTCATGGGCCGCCGCTTCAGCTCCTTTGTTACAGCCGTAGCCGAGCTGCAGATGCCCATATCTAGCCTTGCGATTAGTTTTCTCAGTGATTACCGCACAATTAGAGACAAGCCGCCGCAAGGTGTTGCCTACAGCGATAGGAAGCCCACCGCCATCTTTTTTACCGAGCGCAAACAAGTTGGCAGAATAAAGTACGGTCTCAAACTTGGAGGAATGTTCCCTGACGCAACAATGTTCACAAACTGAGCAAGCATGGCTAGAAGATCTTTACCAAGTTCTCCTGTGGCGGGCGAAATGAGGTCCTTCAAAATCTGTGGAGTCAATTTATCGGGACCTCCGCGGAACCGGAAGGGAAAGAGAGAATGCACTTTTAACCAGTTGACTTTCAACTTGAAAGGATTCCTCTATAAAAACATTATGGGAAGTTTGGTGTTCACTTGTTCACATGGAGTATGCCATGATGTTGAAATAGAGCCGAAACTTCAATCGTTGGAAGGCGAAAGCTTTCACAACAAAACAACCACTACTGAAGATGACGCTCGACTTGTCATCAAGGCAAATGGACTCTGGGGAGGCCGATTCAGCCGAACCTTTTTCGATGTAAAATTTTTCAACCCTCATGCTAAATCCTGCCCTAAAACTATATCTGACGCCTACAAATATCTTGAGAGAGTCAAAACATTAAAATACCAACAAAGAATTCTGGATGTGGAACACAGCAGCTTTGTTCCACTAATTTTTGCGTGTACCGGAGGAGCAGCACCGGGCTCTACAAAAACCGTCCAGAAACTAGCAGAGAAACTAAGCGAAAAACGGAACGAATCATACTCGGACACAATTAACTATAGAAGAACAAAGATAAGTTTTGAACTTCTGAGGAGTGCAATCCTCTGCTTTAGGGGGTGCAAAAAACTTAAAAATACATCCAACATAGACAATTCTATCTGTGCTGTAATCGAGGAGGGTAGATTTTAATTGACAATTCTCTTGATGCATTAAAATAGACTTGATTTATTCATAAAATTTTGTCGATGTATTTATATAGCGTTGGTAAGGCCCTATCCAACCTGTGCACGTACCGTCGCATGACGGAAGGGCCCATTTTAATTGACCCCCTTTTTTATTTTTTTTAAAAGGCGCTTTCTCGTGGGGGAGAGAGTTGTCATCCGGATAGCACATGGTTTTCTCCAACTGTAACTTAAGCGGGGTTGGAACCCTCGACATGCGTATTAATTGCAGTTCATCTTGCCGTCTCAGCAACGGCTGATAGCGCACCTACGAGTTGAACATCACAGTAACTGATTCATATATTTTTTAGATAATATGCCTCTATTTGGAAATCAAACATCACCACTGGAAGCTGACATTGGTAAGACTAAGTGCAAATTTTTGAGCCCGTTCCCAATATAAAGCCCGAGTCTATAGCAGAAACGTATGCAGCCATGCCGCAAAGTGATTTTTATTCTAAACTATAGGCTTTTTGTTCTACAGTGCTGATTTAAATTAACCGGACAAAACGCGTAAAACTTGAAATATTAAAACCCGTTTTTTTCAAATTGGGTTGAATTTAGGTGAAAACTTATGAAGACAAAACTTGCTTGAAATTTTAGCAGAATTAATATGGTGTAATTTGTTTTGCAAAATTGGGTCATTTTGGCTTTTCTTAGTTAATCAAAAATTACGCCGAAAATACCCAGTCGATCACAGACATAGTTATATCAAAGTGAGTCCCTTACGTAGCCTAACAAACTTTATTAATGGTATTTTCTCCAAAATGTTGTATAAGTTAATTTATTTTTGTTTGATAGACAAAAAAGGTCGTTTTTACTATATAAATTACCAACTTTTTATTTAAAAACAATTTTTAAACAATTTGCCATTTTTTTTGGAGAATATACCCTTCTTTATGTTGGTTGGGCTACGTAAGGGGCTCACTTTGATATAACTATGTCTTTGATCGACTGGGTATTTTCGGCGTAATTTTTGATTAACTAAGAAAAGCCAAAATGACCCATTTTTGGGGTAAAATTTCGGGCCCGAATTTTGCAAAACAAATTACACCATATTAATTCTGTTGGTGAAAAACGGGTTTTAAACTCAACCCAATTTGAGAAAAACGGGTTTTAAATTTCAAGTTTAACGCGTTTTGTCCGGTTAATTTAAATCAGCACTGTATCTCTATGCTAAAAATTTCACATACAGCTTGGATCTTTATGCTTAAGTTCTCCAATTAAAAATAATTATATGGCCTGCATTGATTCTCAATCTGGTTGACTTGTTCCCCACCCACCTCGATTTTACTTTGCGTTATACTTTCTTTTTTTTTCCTTCTTCTGTGCAGATGTTAGTTTTCTCAATCTGGTTGGCTTGATTCCCTACCATCTTGATTCTCTTTACTTCCAACCAAGTTATACCTTACGATACTACTATGATAGAGTGGTCCCTCGAAGAAGCAACTATGATAGATAGGTCTTGCATGCATTTCGCATGTTATAATTTTGAAAACTAATTTGTGTATAAATTATTCATTCAGATCAAAAAATTGTAATTACTACATCGTTTATACATTGAAATTTGCTCGCTTCACTTTATTTTACGAATTAACTGCCATAATTGGGTTGACTTTTTTGTCATCAAAACCCACTATTGACGTTTTTTTAAATTAATTTTCAACCTTAAAATGGTGAGGGAGAGGTTTAAAGAAGTAGCAAAACATGAAATTTGTTTGAAAAAATACTGCGACATCTTTCTGAATGGCAAGATCATAATTATTAAACGATTTGAGAGCTCTATGTCTAATTCTCAAGGGACCTGGTTATTTTCAAGGGACCAATTTATCATAGTAGTACCTACTTTAATCTTCCGTATCTAAAATAGCCTAGGATTTTGATTGGAATATGCGATGAAAGGACTCCTGACTGTAATTTCGGTTACTATGATGCTTTTGACCTTCTGATTATAAAACTTTAATGAAATTCTAAGGATTTTTTTGACTGGATGAAAGCATGAAAGACAGAGAGCTCTCCAATTTTAACAGCCCAAACTGTAGATGACGAAATAAGCAATTCAATAAAATGATCGATATAGGCCGAACCTCTGCTCGTATTGGCTGCTTGAAATTCGGAAAGAAAACACGTTCAAGACAGATGAAAGAAATCTCACGATTTAACCGAAACAATCCATGTCTCTATTTTCGATTAAATAAATTGAGAAGGTTTGAAAAAATGAGAACGAACAGAATCAAGATTCTTCAGGTTTAGATGATGGCGATTGAGAAGGTTTATATAACATGTTTGACCTTTGCAAAAAGAAATAAAAGATGTCCTTCCCAAACAAATGAAACACTCCCCTGAAAGAATCTAACAGCATGCAGCTCCTCTCGTCTGATAGTAAACCAGACGTAAGACCCATTGATTCTCAGACCAAAACAATCACTAAATGAATAAATTGAGAACTGAAAATGTGGAACAAAATTTTGAAAGTTGCCGAGGTCATTGTTATGGCAATAAGTACGCAATCCCAAGGTTGAGAAAGGCATTGGAAAATCCCGAATTGAAATTCTCTACCCATTACTAAAAATAAACCGTTAAAATCATTTAAACTTCGATTATTTTATACGTTGACAACACTTGATTGATTTCGACAGAAAGAACAACCCAATCGATTCCTCTTGCAATGGCAATATAAGAAGCGATTAATCTGTCACGTCAATGATGAGTGTCGCGTCAATTATGAGTGTCACGTCAATGTTGTACGCGGACGATGGAAGCGTTGCGGCTGATCTAAAGCGCCTTCATGCCATCTCCAATAACCTAGAGCGCTAGAAATAGATTCTTGCTAACCTTTTGTAAAGCGTTCCAAGAACTAATATATCTATATCTATATATCTATCTATCTATCTATCTATCTATCTATCTATCTATCTATCTATCTATCTATCTATACTATATTTAAATGAGTGTGACACGTATCTTGCCATGTTTAAGCGTTTTTTGCAATAGTTAAGGGCAGGGGCGGATCTAGGATTTTCTCGAGGGGGGGGGGGATTTTCAAAAAATTTTCGAAAATTTTGACGACCTTTTTTTTTTTTTAGGCCGATCAGATTGATTTTCCGAGCTCTGCCAAAGCGTTAAAAAGGCCCTGTTTTGGCCAAATTTTCTGCGCCACAGGCAATTTTTTGAAAAAACATGTCAAAAAAGCCGTTTTTGGGCACTTTTTGGAAAATTTTGACAAAAAAACGCGTTTTTTTTGCGCGCGCTCCCCCTCAAAATTAGTATATATTGGCGCCAAAGGCGCCTTTAGAAAAATTTTAGGGTCGATCGGCCAAAAATGGATTTCTTAAAAAGTACCAAAGGGGGGACCCTTTAGGTTGACAGGGGTTCGAATCCCTAAGGGGAGGCGTCCCCACCCCCCCTCCCCCTAAATCCGCCCCTGGTTAAGGGCATAACGTATCTGTGCGCGGTTAAGCTATATCGTATATTGCAATACTGAAGACTTTTTTTCCGATTTTCCAGTTTGAATGAAGTGTTTGTTCCGCCGAGTTAAAAGTTAGCAACACAATAGTGGGATGCTGTCAGAGTTCCCCAGGGGTTGCAAATTTGGTCTCTAATTATGAGTTCCCAAATGCTTTTATTGTACGAGATACGACGGTTTTTGTGATTTTTTTCAAATTCTTCTGGAAAACTCAATTAACAAAACTTGAAATTCCCAACCCTGTGTTTGAGTGCTTGCAGAGTACTCTCAATGATTGCGAACCTTGCCTCTAAATATGACTGCTCAAATCCTTGTAGTTTTTGAGATATGACGTGTTTTATGATTTCTTTTTAATTTTCCGAAAACTTAGATTTTAAAAATTCAAAAAGATATTTGAAAATCCCAATTTTGTTGTTGGGTACTGTAAGGAAACTCTCAGGAGTTTTAAAATCCAATTCTTGCGTCTAAACGCGACTGTAAAATGCTCATAGTTTTCGAGATATGAAGTTTTTGTGATTTTTCCAAAATCTTTCAAAAAACTTGATTTTTTTTTCTTAAATTTTGAAACTTCAATCACTCTATTCGGATGCCGTCAGAATACTCTCGGAGGTTGCGAATCTCACTTTCAAATATAACTGTTCAAATCTTTGTAGTTTAAGAGATCTGTAGTTTTTTTGTGATTTTTCAAAAAAATTTCAGAAACCTTGAATTAATTTTTCAAATTTTGAAATTCCCAACCCTTTATCTGTGGCTGTCAGAATACTCGAGGGGGTTGCTAATCTCGCCTCTGCTTATGACTGCTCAAGTCTTTGTAGTTTACGAGATATGACGCTTTTTGTGATTTCTAAAACAGTTTTCAGAAAACATAAATTCGATGTTTTTTTTTTTCAATTTTTTGTTGAATTTCCCAACCCTTTAGTTGGAAGATGGTCAATAAATTTGGGGAGTTGCGAATCTCGCCTCAAAATACGACTATTCAAATCTGTTTAGTTATTGAGATTTTACGTTTTTTGTGATTTTTTCAAATTTTTTTATTCGCATCCTTGTAATGGGGGCTCTTAGAATATTCTTGGGTACTGTGAGCGTTGCATCCAACTATGACTGCTCAATTTTTTTTGTTTTTGAAATATAAAATTTGCGATTTTTCAAAAAATTTTAAGAAAATTTCATTTTTTTTTCAATTTGGAAATTCCCAACCCTTTAGCTGGGGCTGTCAGAATGCTCGACGGGATTGCGAATCTCGCCTTCACAAATACTGCTCAAGTGTTTGTTCTTTTCGAGATTGGACGTTTTAATAGTTTTTCATTTTCTTTCAAAGTTTACTTTTCTAACCCTGTAGTGGAGTACTCTCAGGAGTTGCAAGTTCTGCGCGCCAATGCGACTGCTCGAATGCTTTTAGTTTCCAAGGTTTGACATTTTTATAGCTTTTTAAATTTTTTCAAGGAACTTAGATATAAAACGCTTCGCAAATTTTTATTATTTTTTCAAAACTTGAATTACAAAAACTCATAGAAAAAAAGAGCAAAATTTGAAATGACGAACCCTGTTATTGGTTGCTGTCGGAGTACACTCAAAGGTTGCTGATTTTTTTGAAGATGCGGTTTTTGATGAGCTCTCAAACTTCGAAGCACCGGAGGTGCGTTACACGCTAGTACTAATTAATTGAGCGAGACATTTCCAGCCATGTTTAAGAAGTTCCTCTGTTGATATGATTAAGAATTTTGAGCTATAGCTACATGTTTTACTTGTCTGTATTTTTTTAGCTATGCTGGGTATATATGTTCAAGCGCTATTGCCAAACTGCGGATTTCCATCTAGCATCGGTTTTTTTGCCTCATCGCAATTTTTCTAAGTAAGCATCCATCTTTGAACTAAATCAACATAGGAACTGTTTAA